GGAGGGGGTGGACAAAAACTGGAATGACCCAAGGAAAGATAGTTCTTGGTAGTAAGATGAGCATACTAGTGATGTCAGGAGTGAAAATATCGGTTAAAAACAATAGCAGAATGTGAGAAGTGCAGGTGCTTGGTTGCTGGCTTGCACAAACAAGTAAATTGAGAAAATCAGTGAATGGTATACATAGTAGTTATGAAAATATCTGGGTGGCCTTGCATTTATTATGGATTCACAGCTCTCATTTTAAATTACCCATGGATGTTGACGCTAAGGTCATTTTAAAATTACATTCATTTGAACCAGTGAAATGAAAATTACTGTTCCTGTGATTGGTTGAACAGTTTACAGCTACCATTTTGACTTTCTAAATGTTGTTCAAATATTTATAAATAAATTGGTACACCCATGAGTATTCTGAAATGTGAGTATATTCCCTTAATTTTTATAAATTATATCTCAATTCAAACTGAAATGGCAGCTTTAATCGGGTGATGGAGTAACACAGGAAATTTTCAAAAGCACCTTGTGCTTGTTGATTGGCTGGATGCATTCAACTGCTGTTGAAATTTATGAATATTCATAAAATAAAAGAAGTGAGTTTGCATATAGTAGTATCAAACATGCAAATCAACCCTGGCACTGCATCAGGTAAAAGATGCACAATAGCATGTTGACTCAAACTTGTGTGAAGTGTCCCCTGATCAGGATGAAACAGCATTCCTTTCCTTAGACCTCTGGGACACGTGTGTATCTATAATTCATGTAATTAGTCTTGATATCATTTTGTGGTTCTATTCGTGTAGAGGCAATCCCATTGCACAGACAAGTCTGGTTTAATTGAAGGGCTTGGCACACATGTACATAACTTTATTTTGTAAAAGTGCATACCATGTGACCCAAGTCCTTAAATACTAATAACAACTTTTCCTTTGATAGTTTCAGTTTCTCTCCAGCATAGACGATATGTTAGCTGTGATGGTTGAGTTGCATCACATAAAGTGCTGCCCTCGATGTATTCTTAGATTCTGTGGAGAAAAAAACACCCAACCATACAGAAGATCAATTGAGGTATAATTATCTAATTTCTAGCTCAAAATAATCTAGATTAATTTTTTAATATACATTTACACACTTGTAATGAACCAGTATATACCACTAACAACCATTTCTGTAATAGACACGCTCATTTGAAAAGGCTATTTATAGAAATGTACTTTTGTTGCGCAACTTTTCAATTCATGTGACTTCAAATAGAATCTTCATCACATATCGTAACAATTGCCTAACCTATCTTATATATCATTTTGCAAACTACATTTTATTCCAAAAAAATAAATTATTTATACCACATTTGTAATATTATCAGATGATAAACCAAACAGATCATGTCACATATTATACCTGCTGTCTCACATTATTATATGTAAAATAAGCTATGTTTTTTTGAAAAAAAAAAAATTATCTGGTAATAATCGATTTGCTTGATGACAATTTACAATCTGTAGGAAGTGAAACGTATGATTCACACGGCTGAATGCAATACAGAGACATCAAACGTTGTGGGTCCGGGGTCGATAGAAGACAATAACCATGCACTACCATTTACATGTTCCAGTTGTCTAGGAATTCTACAGATCTGTAGTGATGACAAATTTCTGAATGAGGTAAGTGAAGCAATTTTATGATAAAAAAATACCATAAAATGATAATCATGACACCATGATGCCTCAAATCTTGCATTTGACTTGCATTTGCATATTAATTAGATAACTTGCATAATAAATGTAACAATTGAGAAGTTGTTAACGAAAATTGATTAAAATATGTACTAATTACATAATATACTGAAAATATCATTCAAGTTTCAATTTGATATTTAATTGTATTTTATTTTCTGTTTATTTCCTTTTATTCAATACTCTTCCTTTAGCACTCAAGTTGTTTCTAAACTTATTTTGATCTTGTAGATTACAGGCCATATTGAAGAAGCAGACTATCAGTTTAGAAATTATGTCTTTGCCATATCACTACCTCTGCAGTTGCTTGTGAGAGAGGTAAGTAGTAATAATGTAACATTATTCATAGTGCCATCATAGAGGAGGTTGATTCCTTTGTAAACCATACCATGACTGCCATTGAAGCAATTCAATGATAGGTGAGCCAGAAATGAATGTTTAATATTTTTGTTGTTGTATGTTTTTTTCCCCTCTTTTGTACAGCATTCCATTTTATTGCATCTGAAGGACAAATTTAGGTAAGAAAATTATGACAAATTTAGTACATGTACAGATAATTTTGAACCAGAAAGAATCTTATCAATTTTTATGTCATAATGTACCATGAAAACAATTTTGAATGTAGTGCATGATAATTGAAAAAAACACGGAATCATCCGTTCAGCGAAAATTCGAAGTATTCTACAGTAGTCTACAAAACAGAAAAGTTCATGGATGATCTCTTTCTTTTTTCAGTGGACTATATAAAGTGAAAACAACTGAGAGTATTGCGTCAATAAAAGAAATTTTAAAATGGGTTTTCAGTCCAATGTTAGCAGATGTCTTGCATGTTAATTACACATTTTTGGTAAGTATTCGAGATGAGTGATTATTTCCATGCAATAACTTTAATGACCTTACCCTCTGTCACTATTTATTCTCTCTTTCAATTTTGTTCTGTTTCAGGGACCTTTTGAGATTGCCTTATCATTTACACATCCTGAAACAGCGAGTGAATGCGAATTATTGTAAGTTTTACAAATCCAAATTTCAGTAGATTCATTTGGACGAGAGTTTTTCGTGACTCTCACCTGCCACACATAATAGTAAACTTTTTGGTCACAACATATGGGCATGTTGTATTTGGACATACTCTGATGTATTTATATCTGTGAATAGCAAATCCTGGGACTGTATATTGCACATTGATGATAGGGTAGTCATGCTTCATGTGATTAGAAGTTTGGCTTATTTTTACCGTTGGTCATTCGAAATTATTATCTTTAGTCATTAGGTTAAGGTAACAGACATTCTTTGAAAGTTACAATTCTTAAATTGGCTGTCAGATAATATTCGCCTATATATTCCCTTTTAGAAAAACTGTCATACTCTCAATTTGGAAATGTACAGTTGACGTACATAATTTGATAGCATATGATCAGCTATGTAATTAATATTTGATAATTTTACTTTCAGTGTTGATCGCAAAGAATTCATCGCATTGCATGCAAAGAAAAGACGCAAGGTAATTCTTCACAATAAAGTATATTTTATATCACTTTCAGTATACGTACTTTACATCACTTTCAGTATACTTTGTATTACTATCAGTATACTTTGTATTACTTTCAGTATACTTTACATCACTTTCAGTATATTTTACATCACTTTCAGTATACTTTATATCACTTTCAGTATACTTTACATCACTTTCAGTATACTTTACATCACTTTCAGTATATTTTACATCACTTTCAGTATATTTTACATCACTTTCAGTATACTTTGTATTACTTTCAGTATATTTTACATCACTTTCAGTATATTTTACATCACTTTTAGCATACTTTACATCACTTTCAGTATACTTTACATCACTTTCAGTATACTTTACATCACTTTCAGTATACTTTACATCACTTTCAGTATACTTTACATCACTTTCAGTATACTTTAAATCACTTTCAGTATACTTTACATCACTTTCAGTATACTTTATATCACTTTCAGTATACTTTACATCACTTTCGGTATTCTTCACATCACTTTCATTATACTTAATAGTTATAAATTCAAATTGATGGACCTCTTTCCCATCTTTGCATTCTCATCCTGTATCGTAGCTCTCAGATGTGCGCCATATAACAAAACCATCCGTTTCGACAGCTCTTTCAAAGTTGGGAGATGAAGAAATGAAAAAGTGAGTACAAATTTACCTTAATGACATTTCACACCACTTGTCAGTATGTGATATGAATCACTAACTGAATTTATTTGACAAGCTTTTACTGTATTATTAATAAACTACACATCATTTGCCTTCTATGATATTGCTTTCATACGTCTGTGTCTTTTTATGTCAGAGTTTTTTGTCCCAGTTTTAATCAACACCATTTAAATGTCATAATGCCCATAGTGATATTGGCCATTAACTTTATGCCCTGTTCTACCGTAGTAAATT